CTGTCGACATGAAGATGGTCAAGGGAGATGGGAATTATTACAGTCACATCAGGGATGATGGAGATATCCTCATGTTTGTGGCTCATCATTTAGTGCCGGAGAACGCCTCCTACAGCCTCAGCTCTGAAAGCGACTCGGGTGCTGAGTTGGACGGTTACCCACCCAGTGGACACACGTCGGAAAAATCTCAGAAGCGGACCGACAGTTCAGACTCTCCCAGTATGTCATCGTCGTCGTCGTCACCCAATCAGAGCTCAGAACGTAAGCCAGCCCAGTTGGCCCTAGCAGACGAAAAGTCAATGTCTACCCTGCAAACACCTCTCGAAACTTGATAATGAAAGTGCGCCCTTTATTTCAATCTAGTTGTCTCACTGACTCTGCCTGTCTGTGTCAGCTATGGGGAATTTTCTTTTTTTCTTATTTACAACGCATTGTACATTCTAGACAATCCTTCCAGAATATCGAAACAATAAATGTTTGAAGAAGATCACAAGAACGCCCCTTTCCTCACTGCCTCCAGTTTGAAGAGTTTGATGAACTAAACAGGCGTCACTCATTCAAGGCGGGCTTAAGGAGAGAAAAGATGAATTGGATGAAAAATTATATGACGAACACTTATTTTACCGAAATTTAGCTTAGGGCCCCGTAATACGGAACGTCCTTATTTACGTGTACGATCGGTGATGTGGGCATGTATGAAACCCTCACAAAAGGCGATTTCCGCAAATACTCGCATGTTACACTCGAAAAGTCACGTTAGGAAACACATGTTTTAGGTAATTCGTCATCAGACCAACTCATTTACCTAGAAATGGAAAATGTGAGCAATTTACAGGGTTTATAAGTGTCTCAGGGATTATAAACACTTATCGCTCCCACGCCACCCGCATGTCGAGTTCGGCGTGCTATGACCCTTTGGGCAAGGGAGGGGGTGGCATAAGCTGTGAGTGATGTTTGTAAGTCAAATTCGTGCAGTACACATCGCTGTAATGAGGGGGGTCGGGGCGGCGTGCGATAACCATCCGGGATCGGCGTTGGCCACAGAAGATAGAGCGCCCGTTTCAACGTCTTCTGACAACACAGCACTGGGTTCGCTAGTCGTATAGCTACCAGCCCGGCTGTAGCTGGCACTCGTTTGTGTCGGCCCTTGGGGAAGTTTGCTGGTGTCCATCAGACAACTTAAAAGGGCTTCTTTTGCATCGACCCCGTGTTTCGCATCGACTAGATGTGCGAGAATAGAACTCGAAATGGATTTATTTTCAGCACCGCCTGGCCAGGCCGGTATGTGTTCATGTGCTCTCTTTTTCAGGAGTCTCGTTGTACACCCAATGCGTCCCGCTCCACAGGGGCAAGTAAATGAGTAAATACACATCGATGTGGCCTGCGGCGGTAGTCTCTCTTTACCTCCAAAGCGTAGGAGGGAAGAGTTTTTGAACCATATGCGCGACTTCGCCGGGAGGAAAACGCTAGTGATCTCTGTCATCGGACGCCGTCTTACTAGTTCGCTTGCTGCGTCCCTTGGAATAGGCAGTCTTACAAACAAGTCATTTTTGTCTGCATTTACCATGCTAGGCTTTGTGGAGCGTTGCCCAATATTTCGGAGGGCATCCGCTTTCGCGAAGTACATAAGTTCATACATTGGTAGAGGAGCACTCACCGATTGTTCTTAGGGAATCCACTCGTCCTGTTGTGTCTTACGGGCTCTCTCTCGAGCCCAACCAGCAGTCGTTCAGCGGCGCATGATATAGGCAGAATGTCATTACCGAGAAAGACAACAGAGACTGGAATGGCCATTTCTGGCTTATTAGCGTCGTCAGCCAGTCCGGCAGTTTCTGGCTTATTAGCCGTCTTCGGCCAGTCATACCCAACGGCGAAGTGTGGGACACCTGGGGTTCGATCCCGCGACCTGTTAGATAGAAGTCCAACGCCTCTAACCACTGGGCCACGAGCTCGTTGTCCTGTTTAGCCAAATGGCAGCGTAGGAAAAGACCTTCTGCAGAAATTCATCTATTTTCTGTGTCTCCTTGCTGTACGACTTGTGTGTTTCCCACCCGTAAAACCCCCTCTACCACCATTTAACGTATGACACGCTCTACAGGCTAACGCAAGTTAGTTGGGGGGTCCTACACCCTATCGTTGTCGGTGCATCTTACTTACCATCGAGCTGTAAGGACTTGTTCACCCAGGCCGCCTAGGTACGGGTCTCGCCGTGCCAGCCACCTGCGCCTTCCATGCCTCCAGCTTTCTTGACTCTGTCTTGACACTGTGCCCAGGTAAGAAGTGGGGAAGAGAGAGAGAGAGAGAGAGAGAGAGAGAGAGAGAGAGAGGTAGATACTGCACAAGTCTACTAACAAGTCTAATCTAACTCCCTCACAAGCCACCGTCCCCGCTGCGCCTTGCTCTGGAGCACACGGTGGACATCGTCGAAATCGACGGTCGAACTGTCGCCTCGGACAGTGCCAAGTGACCTGCTGTGCATTGTCCTCGAAAATAAGGCAGACTCATTAAGTCACTGCAGAGGAAAATAAGCGCAGTCATGACTTCGCGGTCAAATATAAGGGGAAGCCGTGTGTTGCCGGCGAAGGTGGACAGGAAATGGCCATGGCCAGTGGTCGGAGCCGACGTGCGGCGTCCGCATCTCACCGTATTAATTCACCTAACCGAGTGTGGTTTGATTTCCCTTTACTGTAGTGAAAACAGGCATGCCCATGCAGTAGTGTAATACAGACTTACTAGCAGAGAGGCGAAAAAAGACAAACAGAAAGAGGAGGAGGAAGAAGAAGAAGAAGTAGACGAAGAAGAAGAAGAAGAAGAAGAAGAAGAAGAAGAAGAAGAAGAAGTAGACGAAGAAGAAGAAGAGTGATAAGAAAAAGAAGAATAAGAAGAAGAAGTAGACGAAGAAGAAGAAGAAGAAGAAGAAGAAGAAGAAGAGTGAGAAGAAGAAGAAGAAGAGGAGGAGAATGAGGAGGAAGAAGCAGAAGAAAAAGAGGAGGAGGAAGAAGAAGAAGAGGGAGTGCGGTTTGACTTCCCCTTACCGTAGCGAAAACGGATATGCCCAGGCAGTAGTCTAATACAGACTTACTAGCAGACAGGCGAAAAAGACAAACAGAAAGAGGAAGAAGAAGAAGAAAAAGAAAAAGAAAATAAAAAGAAGAAAAAGAAAAAGAAAAAGAGAAGGAAGAAGAGAAGGAAGAAGAAGAAGAAGTAGAAGAGAGGAGGAGGAAGAAGAAGAAGAAGAAGAAGAAGAAGAAGAAGAGGAAGAAGAAGAAGAAGAGGAAGGAGGAGAAGAAGAAGAAGAAGAAGAAGGAGAAGAAGAAGAAGAAGAAGAAGAAGAAGAAGAAGAAGAAGTAAACAAACGCAACTCAGAAGAACTAACCCGACCTCGACCGGCAAAATGAGAAATTTAGTCAATAGTAATGACTTTAAACACAAAAGACTACTCGAAGGAGGTTTCGGCAGGACTGACTTATGTGGCCCCCTAAACAAGACCTGGGAAAAGGTACGCTCAACGCAAATTATAAAGGTGGACCTAGGCGTAGTTCCGGAGGGAGTAAAATATTTCTGCACTCTTAAACCAACAGTAACCCTGGTATAAAACAAACCGTTGCTCTAATATTGACCCTAACTTTACCATAAATCTTAACCTTACAGCGACAGTAGCCCGTACCTTAACTTGATCCCGACTCAACTAGCCGTTAACTTGAAATCTATCCTTAAACCTGGTCCTGGTCTTTTAATCATCTATAAGGATTCTATTTATCATGAATGACCAGGTATTTATTACACATTACTTCCATTGGTTTTCGATGTCTGTGTAATTTCTGTCACATTCACCAAGACTTACAGTAGAACTTCAACTAATGTATTTTCTTTGCACTCAGTCTCAAGTATATTTACTAAAAGATATGCACGAGCATGGTTTCCTATGCTCATTCTCAATTAACTTACGTTTTCATTAAATGTTCTGCTCAAGGAAAGAGTAGCTTGCAATACTTGAAAAGTTTGTACTTAGCAGGTTAAAAAAACCTGGAAAGTCTATTCATATGGCGTTGTGTCTGCCTATGTATGGATGGTCCTTATGAAGTATGCGAAAGGATCCCTATCTACTGCAAATTTTGAGGGCCTGATGTCGCTGAAATGTCTTGTGATTTTTCCGCACGATAACTAGTATCGCAGTCGCATCAGAGTGGCCTCTCTCATCAAAAATACATTGCGGCATTTCTTTTAACGTTTCATGAGATCGGTTACTTATGGTATAAAACGTTTCTTATTGTTGTTTGTACCATACCAAATCCGAGGTTCTATGAGGATCAGAGAGCTTCTTCATAGTGACGCAAAAAGACAAAGTTTCGCCTTAAGAAGGACACGGCGCGTATATTAGAGATCCTAGACGTAAATACAACGGAAAGATCAGTCTTAAAATAAAGCAGAAATTAATTAGCTTTTTATCAAAAGCGAAAGACGGTCTTTATAAAATTAACATCTTAAAGAAGACGCGCTTGCCTTCGGCACGAGTATGTGAGCATATCTCTCCGTAGTGCTCACTTCCCCGCGAATCCTCGAAGTCCGTGTAAGTTTAGGCATATTAGAGTAACTTTGACGTCTAACCGCCGCATATTTATGCGTGCAAATTTACAAACCGATGAAATGCTGGCGATGACGCCTTCTATGCCGATCAATTAAAATGGGACTTTTACTCGTATGGCGGGACCACGTGCGCGGGGTGTGCACGTAATATTCTCACGTCAAGCCCACTTAGCTGGTTTCTTGAGTAAATGGCCTCCATTTTAATTGCTTGTGGTTTCGCTCTATGGTGTAGGCCACAGAAAAATCGCGTGAACACGTGAAAATGTCGCCACGTTATGAGCACACAGTTAGTGCTGAAAAATATCGACTAACAGGGCATGTGCACTCGTAGCTAAGTAGACCTCGGCAGTTGAGTTACACCTTTTCGGACCACCTGACTGGAATCGAAATCGCAGATCGTCAGGCGAACCAATCAGCAACGTCCAGGGTACTCAAGTTGATGGCGACAGCAACTGTCGCTATTTCTGAAACGAGGGTGACGAAGCCAGCCTCAAAGGAGTGCGGGGCGTCGACGAAACAACTGCTCCAAACGGGTGAGGTTGCATGACGAAATGAAGGCAGAGAAATTATGGGACTGCTCAGACCTCCCAGTTTTTGCGAGGTAAAGCCCAACAAAACTGGCTGGCTCTACTTGCCAGTTTGTAAAACATATATGTGATCCCGTAGGAAGGCCATCTGCGTGGTTTCGAAATACAAAGGTGACGTGATTTTCTATCAATCGACAGAAAGAAAGCATATTTTGTTCAGGGTTTCTATAAAACATATTTGAATTTGCAAGACCATGGAAAATCAAAGGGAAAAATGCATGCTTCTTAAGTTGTCACTTTTTACCAAGTACGGTTTCCACAGAAGATTGAAAAGCAGCGTATTCAAAAGCTGACATCCTGCCAAGTCCAAAATATTATAGGATTATGCCTCAAGATAATCAGTATTACGACCGTGCTTAAGCAATCCTTTTTAGTCGAAAACGCATTTCAGAATTTCAGCCAACATTTCATGAGATCGGTCATTCACTGTAGTGAGAAGAACAATAGATTTCCAACTGCTAGGCTACACAAGCTGAGCACGACGGACAAAATGGCCTCTTTGCCGAGAAATAATTCACTCAGGAGAGCCGCATCCAGATGTTTTGCCAAGAGGGAGCCGACGGAGAACAGCATTGAAGACAGAGGAGTAGCCAATAAATTCACATGCGTACGCACGGTAACCCTTATATAGATCTCTTAGAACAGAGTGAACTACAGGAGAAACAGCATCCTATGTACTCCGCCTGGCTTTATGTGCAAATTGCAAAGGCCCAGAGAAAATACAGAAGACTAACATAGAGGCATCTAAGGTAACTCTTTCAGCCAGCTTCAGAAGTGCGTAGGGGCAAGCAATTAGACGGAAGGCTGTAGGATCCAAATTAGTGGACTTATTAGGGAATGAGGTTGATTCTTGCACCTGGGAAGGACAGGACCTAAGGAGAAATGGTCAGACACCATTCGGTCCGAGAGCTTTTGACCCACGGACCTTTTTATGCTTTTCCTCCACATGACCCAAAGACGCAGGACAGAAGATACAGGACGAAATCGAAATGTCGCTTGAGGGAGGAAAACAAGCCTGCGAACACGGGATCCTTCTCTTATTCAAATTCGCCCCATTTGTTTGGTCCTCTGGGAGTTCTGGAATATTTCGACCTATTGTTTGCCAAGTCGCGACGAGCGCCACAGAAACTTCGGACCTGTCGGGTGGCGACCGTTGATTGGCCGGTTCGTGCGCGAGAACACCTTGCGGGAAAATATCGAATATTCGATCCGCCACAGGCGTGAGCAAAAGCATCACACGTGCTCGATACTGCAGCGCATGCTTATTTTCCGCTCTGCGTAACATTGGGTTTGCGTAGAAATTAGGACAGCGAATAGGAACCCCTCTGAAATTTTGAGCGAGGTCACCTGTTGTACTAAGGGAGGGGGTGAATATTCCCCTTTCTGGCAGCCTTTTCACTGAGCTGAATTTCAGGCAAGTCCGACTTCATAATGAGCAAGTGCAGGCAAGCATTCGAAGCAGATCTGACCATGCCTCCCCCTTTATCAAGGTTCTACAACAGTTACGTCGTTTCAGTGTTTTGAATTGAAGATAAGCGTGGCCGGCTAGAAATTTAGACAGTACAGCATAGAAGGCTCTTGTTTCATGCATTACCTTTTCAAGATCTTTTTCGAAGTTAAATGGCGAATACTTTACTGAACAGTCTGCTTTTTTCCTCCTGGAAATGCCTAAGCTTGGCTGGTAACCCGATCGCAAGTGTGTAAGGAGTTTTTGAACCTCCAATGGGTGAAGAAGGTTTAGGCAGTTGCTCTTTGATTTTTACTCATCGGCTGTGTGCCCAATTCTTTTAACGACACTATGTCTGTTTTGTCGCTTGTAACAACGAAGGCCCCAAGAATTAGGTTCGAATTAGCGTTTGAAAGTGACAGAAGGAGGTTGGGAGGATGCCGGAGCCATCAGCTTGTTCGTTTGCTTTCTCATCATCTAACTTAGCTTGGAAAAACGGGGGAAACAGTGGGTGGCTTTGCAAATTCAGCGATTTTTCATCTTTCAGACGACTAGTATCCTGACCGCTTTCACTCAGTTGCTTTTGTGCAGGTAATGTCTGATTCTCACCACACTCCACCAAATGTCAGTCTCCCCTGAAGTGCAATAGTCCAGACTCCGAGAGTGCCTCCATGCCCACTTACTGAGGCCTCTGTCTCTTAGAGCCCGCGCCGTATTCTGACGAAATCTCGCTCCAATTCATGTGAGTGAAGGGTTAAGAGGACGCGCTCCTGTCGTCATTTGCAGACAGAGGGGAAACATTTCTGCCAGCTACAATGCGTAGCTAGTCTAGCCACGCTTCTGTGTCACGTGACATGACACAGCCGAAGAAACGCCACCAGTAGCGCCGAGCGAGATTCATGTTGCAACGTGGGGGGTGGCATGGAAAGTTCTTGTCGGTGCATCTCCCGACAGAGGTGGCGCGCCGTTCTCTCCTTTGCGCAGTACATCCCTCGCAGTCAACTGCTCAGGTCTCTGTGAGTCACTGCAAATTACAGACAGGTGAACGATAGTCATTTCTAGCCCGGCTAGTCGGTTGGATCAGTTTTGGGACGATGAGGCGGTTTGTACAAAAATTACCAGGCAGGTGCGTCAGCACTAGACTGAGAACATTTTCATTCTCCCATACTCAGTCTTATAGAGTAGTAGCTGAAGGGACCTTTGAAGCATTTTGTTCTCAGTGCGAATTTAAAACAAGCATTAGAAGCAGGATTTAATTGTGGCAAAAATTTCGTGACGACTTATCATACGGCGGAGGAAGCCAGACTTTTTCAAGCAACTAGACTATAAGTTTAATCAGATCTTGCCCTGTGAATGCACGGCCCTTAGATTTACGTGTATTTTAGCGCGATATCGTACCCATCTCCCGCTTCTAATATGTTTTTCTGTATTATCTATTATTAAGTCGTGTGTTTTGACTTGTTATCCTCTTGTTTTTAATAAGCGTTCCTTAGTCGTTATCTACACACTGCAGAAATAGATGGCGGTCGATAAGCCGTCGCCAATTTTGTTTTGGTAAGTCTCCTATTGGGTGGTCGTCAAAAAGCCAGGTTTGTTGAAAAGCACTAGCATGGGTAGTTCACCCAGAAAAATCATCCGCAGTGCTCACATTTGCGATGTAGTGACCAGTGATGGAGAACTCGTGGACATGTGTCCGGCTGCGAATTTTAGTCAATACCAAGTCTGATTTG